GCATCTAGGGCATGTGCCCTGACCAGGAATCAAACAGGTGACCTCTTGGTTCCTGGGTCAAAGCTCAACTGCTGTGTCACACTGGCCGGGCAGTCATCAGCATTTTAGTAAACAAATATCTTACCTGATTGCCCCTAACTGCTTCTGTCTGCCAGCCTGATCACCCCCTAACCACTCCCTTGCCAGCCTGATGGAGGCTTAACTGCTTCCCTCCCAGCCAAATTGTCCCCAACTGCCCTATTTGCCGGCCTGGTCACCTCTAACTGCCCTCACTTGCCAGCCTGGTTACCCCTGCCTGCCCTCACCTATTCTCCCCTGCAGGCCTGATTGCCCCAACTGCTTTCTCTTGCAGGCCTGCTCCCTCCCAACTGCCCTCCCTTGCTGGCATGATCGCCCACAACTGCAGGCCATCTTGCATCCACATGGGAGTGGCCAACTTGTGTGTTGGAGTGATGGTCAATTTTATATTACCTCTTTATTATATAGGACTATTACATAGGATATACTGTATATTTATATATGAATACCTGACATTAATAAAGCCCTAAGTCATAGAGGAAAATATTGTTATACATATTATTCTCAGCATGCAAGCTAGAAGGAAAAAACCTCAAGCCTCAATCAGTCTTTAAATTTTGATAGTTTTGCAAATCAGTTCTAATCGTAGCAATGGGACCATTTCTTAGATGAGGCTTGAAAGTAGAATTTATATGTTGCTGGGACAAAAGCCAAGTGATAAACACAACATTTGATGATCTTACTGATCTCCTGAGGAAATACTTTACAAGCTTGTAAAATGAGGAAGTATAATATAGTGGAGTTTGTTTTTTAAATTATTCTCTCTAAACTTTACTTATCTTTATTGATATCAGAGAGGAAGAGAGAGGGAGAGAGAGATAGAAACATCAATGATGAGAGAGAATTATTGAATGGCTGCCTTCTAAGCCTGCAACCCGGGCATATGCCCTAACCTGGAATTGAACCATGACCTCCTGGTTCATAGGTTGATGCTCAACCACTGAATCACACTGGCCTTTAAAAGCAGGATGTACACATACTACATTATTACTGACCTGCCAGATTGTTTTTAACTTGTTGAATAATTATAATCCCTGCTCTTTCTGAAAGCTGGCATTTATTAAATTACAAATTCCCCATGTTCCTGATATTAGTTATAATTTCAAGGGTTTCACCTCAGTTAGAATAATACATGATTACTCTCATTGATTACTTAGTTTGTAGTATCCATATATTATTCATTTAGTCCATCCATGCTGACAAAAGAAGTGGAAAATGCTTTTTGTGAAATGTCCAGTTAGTTATAAAGCACCAAAGGCCAATGATGATAATGTGGTGTGAGCTCAGCGGTGTAATTAACGGGTCCCTCTGTACCTGAAGTTCAATTGTAAAAAGAACCCGTCCACCATGGGTTATCTTAAATAGTTCAACATTGTATTTATAATATTGTACAGAACTGAAATTAAAGTATTGATGTTATTATGAGATTGTTGGTTTAGGAATGTAACTTCTTAAAATATTTTAAAAAGAGCTGAAAGCATCTATAAAGTTGGTAAAAAGTGTTTTATTTTATATAATTATATGGATTGCTATCTCATGAGCATGTTATTTATAAAAGGTAACAGGGCAAAAAACAAACAAACAAACAAAAAAGCCCACTAGGCATCTATAAATAACCACCTTTAAAAGGACTAAGAGGAAAATAAAATTTTGGTGCTAGATAAAACAAAGGCAAAATCAAAGAACTACTCAAAATAATAATAATAAGTCATTTGGTTATGACATTATTAATAACCAATTTGGCTAGTTCTATTGCTCACTAATATACAGTGACTCTTCTGGTTATTATAAGATCCAAATAATGTAATCTCTGATGAAGCTACTCTGGACTGTCTACAATAGATACTAAATGGAAATCCCAGAATTCACCCAGAATATCTTCTGAGTGTGAAAAAGTGCTACGTGTAGTTAAAAAAATTTTTTTAATCCAATTTTTTAACCACACTGAGAATTTTAGCAGTGTAAAACCATGCCTTATCACTTTATTACATTCATAATTTGTACTAATACTGACAGAAGTTAAAACCAGAGTCTCCATTTTATGTTTACTCAACAAAGAGCCTTCTTTCAGAGCTGGTACAAACTGATAGTTTAAACAACCAAAATAAATGAGTAGGTAAAAGTATTGCTTAAAGCACCCATTTCCATTGCTAGAGCTGTGAGGGTGTCAATGGAAGTATCTGTTACTCCATGGATGTCAAGATTGATCCAATGCTGTGTGCTCATGTTTGGTATGACAATGACCTTCTTAGAGAAGTCACATCACTGAGTAAAGGTAAACACTTTCACATACTTATTAAAACAAGTTTCTTGCCCTGGCCAGTTTGGCTAAGTGGATGGTGCTTTGACCTGCGGACTAAAGGGTCCCAGGTTCGATTAGTTACGGGTCCTGGTTGGGGTTTGTGCAGGAGGCAACTAATCGATGCATTTCTTTCACATCGATGTTTCTCTGTCTTTCTCTCTCTCTTCCACTCACTCTAAAAATCAATGAAAAAATATTCTTGAGTGAGGATTAAAAAAAAACTAACAAGTTTCCTAAAAACAACAACAAAACACAAGTTTCCTTAGGAGTTCAGTGAGGCAATGTAATTAACCTGACTTAAAAATGCAATAAAATATCTATTGTGTGCTTAAAAATGCAATAAAATATCTATCTCTAAAATATTCTAGACAGATTTTGCTCTGGTTCACTACTCAATTTGGGCAAATTGATTAGATTTTCACAAACAATAATCTGAAATATAAAATTAAATTTGGGTTTAAAATTTCTTGACATTACCAAAAACCTATGATACCTATTAATAAGACGGTAATAAAAAAAGACCCAGGATGCTGAAACTGACCATTGACTGTTTTGACTCATACTAATTTCACATATCTTGGCAGAATTAACTATATTTTTAAAAATATAGTTATGCTGTGCAATTATAGAGGTTAGTACATTTTTCAGTTAAAACTCAATGACATGTTGCTGAAGTTGGCTTCTTCTAGAATTTGAAGTTATTTTAAATAGTGAATAAGAATATTTTTAAAAGATCATAAAATATTGCTTCATCGAATCTCTATCAAAGTAAGATTCCAAGACCCTTATTACTTCTCAAAACTCCTAAAGTCCATTATATGATTGGGTTGGGTGAAATGTACAGGTCAAAGTATTCAGCAAAAATCTTAGCTGCTTAGAGAAAGAACTAAGACTCTACTGAGAGTCACACATTGACAATAAACAAACAAAAAAATAACCAAAACAGGCAGAAATGATGATTCAAAAAGTGGCAATGTTGGCATAACTATCTGACAGTCACAAGTTGTGGACCACAAGTTCAACATGAATATATAAAACAGCAGTGGAAACAAACAAAAAATGTCATATTAGGATGTCCCAAAGAGAATATGACTGATAAATCTGTTGAAGTTAGATACCACGAAGACCATCTTTTGCCAAAGCTCTATACAGTGCCAGGATAGCAAGAGAGCAGTGGTTAAACACGGCCAGACAGTTCTATCATTCACTGTGGGGCAAGACCTCCCTGATTTGGAAGCCTGCCTTCAAAGTTAAGGGCATAGTTCAGAAGGCACATATGAGGTAAGGGATTCTGACAGGGAGGAGGTGCTGTGTTAAAGCAGCCTTTCAAGCACGAGGCACCAAATTCAGCAGCAGATGTTTGGTGAACCTTATCTCCCCTCAGTGTATATGGGAAGCAGTAAAATAAATAAAGCTTTTATTCTTTGTTTCTTTCCTGGAATAAAGTATCAGGTGGCATAGATGACCAGAGGACTGACTCTCCATTTGCTAGATTGCTTTAAAGGTCAGAATTTGAAAATTAAGGATTAACTGGAGATTGATAGTACGTGAGTGGGAGTGATAAACAGGCCCTTCTGCATTTTGTGCCATTTCCTCTAGCGCGAGGATGTCAACAAATACCACATAGAAATCACACAGAATGTCATCTCTGACGGGCTGATAGCGACTTCCTGGAAAGCTGAGATGAAGCGTGTCTCAACACCGAGTGAGTCAAGTGACATCTGCCACTATTTTATTTGCTATTCCCGTTTGGCTTGTTTCAAGTGACCTTAAAGATCTCAGAGATATACAAAGGTGGCAGGTTACCCCCACTACCCTCTTCCCCTATCTATATACTACGTACAAGGGAGCTGTAGTGAGAACAACAACGAGCTTTGAGGACATGTGAACAAGTAGGGAATTTTAGCTGAGAAAGAAAGCGTTTGCTCTTTCATCCAATATTCCCATGACTCTGACAAGTTCCCAAAAGTGACTCGATCTGGATGACGTGGGTCCACTGGTCACCAAACAATATCTCCTCAGGACTGTGGACTCTCGCTGCATCCTCCTGACAGGGAGAAGCCAGTTTACCAACCTCCTGGGATGGTGTACACAGTAAAACACCTGCTTTGCTTGCTGTCTTCTCGGTGAGACACTTGCCTAGAGAAACCTTCTTGCTGAGTGCAGTGGACCTATCACTTGACTAATCAGAGGAAATTATCCAAGGCTAATTAGGTAACAGTGTGACCCAGAAGGAAACAGAAAACAGCTGCCTGATTTAAACCTTGAGGAATGAAGCAGAAAGGTAACAAGGACGCAGAGATCATGGCCGCAGTCAATGAGAGGTCGGCTGAGAGGGGGGAATACCCTCTGATGAGGGGTGACTGTTATCCTAAGGCTCCTCCACCCTTGGCGATGGGTGTCAGCCAGGCCTTTTCCTTGGGCTTCTCAATAGCACATTCTTCCAAGTACAGGTGATGCCATCCCTAGGAGGAGTGGGCGTTGGGAGAAGCAGCAGAAGGTGCTTGTGTCTATGTTGATTTGAAATTAATTAAATCTGTATCCTCTTCATCCTCTGTTGGCAGGCCCAGCGGGCTCCCCTCAGGCAGCTCCTCTTGGAGAACATTAGCACCATTCAGCTTTAGGATTCATTATCACTGCAAAAACACAGAACAATCAGTGTTTCCAAGAATTTATCCAGTCCTGGTCACTCCACCATGGAGGTGACTCACAGTCCGCAAGCCAACAGCGTTCAGCTTACAATTTCTAAAACAAAGGTCAATTAGGGTATTTTTTTTTTTTTGATACCTGAGAAGAAGATCCATGAAGGCCAGAAATAATCCCTAACTGTTGCTCTAACATCCTTCCCTCGTGCTGACGTGGAGAGAACCAGATGGAGTTGGGGGTTCCCCTTTTAATTAAATCTAATCCCATTCTCTACGAAGAAATGCCAATTGACCTCCCCCCACACTCACATACGCTCACACCCTTTTAAAAAATATTCCATGTGCTGTTTTTCCTGAAGAGTTTGTGGCCAGGGCATGATTTCCCCCTACCTGCCCCCCTCCCGCCAGCCCATTTTGTTCATATCAGGAGGTGCCCTCTCGGTGTCCTTTAGAATACGATCATCAGGCATCCTGGGGGATGAGTTGACATTAATTATGGACATCGTATTTGGGCATGACCATGCTGTCTGGCTAACTTGTGCTTTGTTTCTAACGTGGCTATCTTTGCCACATACCTGGCTCTGTGGCTTTTCCCCAGTAGGACGAAGCAACCATTCAGGTATCCCGGAAGGCAGGCCAGTCTCTCTCTCCTCTGCGTTTCTCTTTACTTTGGTGTCCCTTCACTCAGGTCCTAGTACATCTGAACTTGAAGCGACCTTTGTCTCCAAGAAAGTGCCTGAATGAGATTAATCAACACCACCTGGTGTCTCCTTGGTTTATAGGCGTATATAGTCTGCCGTAGATTGTTCTTCTGACTCCTACTTCGGCGCTCTCCTGCTCTGTGAAACACCCTGTGTTCCAAAAAGGACTCTGAGGCAACTTGATAGGCGTAGACAGGTAGATCCATGAAAAAGGTGGGAAACATTGCGTGTGTGTTTGTGTTGTGAAGATGGGGAAGAGGTGGTGATAAGGAGGGATGATCAATGGGAAAGAAGGGGGAAGGTAGACGTTGTCAAAAGGACAACTTCTGTAGCAAAACTTATTTAAAATGGAAGCCTCGTTGAAAATTAAGACCCTTTTCCCCTAATCTTCACCAGAGGATATTTTTTCCCCCATTGATTTTTAGAGAGAGAGTGGGAGGGAAGGAGGAGGGGAGGAGAAGGAGAGAGACATCGATGTGAGAGACATTTAGTTGCTGTCTCCCTCACCCTGACCAGGCACTGGGGATTGAACCTGCAACAAGGTACATGCCCTTGACCAGGAATCAAACCTGAGACCCCTCAGTCTGAGGGCCACGGCTCTAGTCACTGAGCCAAACCGGCCAGGGCTTTTTATTTTTTTAAATCTGGAGAGTAGATGTAACAACGCACTTCACTTAAATCACCCTGAGCAACTTTTAAACTGAGCCAAGAAGTTTCATTTCTTGGAAATTGGTCGTAGCAAGATAAGATTTCTAAAATCCAGAGTGCATCTCCACAGAGCATGTCTCTTAATTCCATGTTTTCCTTTTGTTTACCTTAACATTTCTGCTGCTCCAAGCTGAGTGTATGACAAAGCTGGCTAGGAATGAGCACAATGTCTTTTTTGTCCACAACCCTGATCCGTGTCCAGCAGTTAGAATTGATATTAATTATATAACACCAATCCATATTCATTGTTGAAAAAATAGAAAATACAAATAAGCAAAACAAAAATATTAACAAGCTCACAACACTTATCGTTTTGCTATTTACTCTCCCAAACTTCTTTTCTGTGATAATGATATATGTTCCTTTTGTACAAAAATGGGATCATATTATGCATAGTGTGTAGTGTGGGATCATATTATGCATAGTCTGCTTTACTCACTCTGATTCACATATAGGCATCTTTTCTTGCTAATAAATATAAAATACCTTTTTAGTGTCTTATAGAGAATTCCATTATCACTAGACCCCCCCCCCCCAAGTATATTGTTTTAACCCATAAATTTATTGTTAAACATTTTGGCTATTTCCAATTTTTAGTTTTTATTTATTATAAAATTGCTGCATACTTCCAGTTATTAAGCTTTGCATAAATAGCTAGAAGAAGAATTGCTAGTTTAAAGTATTTTCAATTTTGAAGCTTGACTAGCCTACTGCCAAATTACCCTCTTCCCTAGAAATTTTGTATAATTTACCTTCTCTCAACACTTTCCTTTAGGGAAATATGCTTTTCCCCACATTCTCTCCAATACTGAATTTTTACTGTTTTGGTAAATCTAATAGGTGAAAATAGTACAGTATTTACCTTTATTTTTTTTTCATTATTATTTATTTCTAGAAAGAATAAACATTTTTCAAAGCTCTATTGGTAATTGAATTTCTTTTTCTGAATTGGTTATTGGTACTTTGCTCACAATGAAAATGGATCAATCTTTTTTTTATTAGTTTGTATATTAATAATAATTTTTTTGTTCATCATGAACAAACACTTTTCTCCAGTTTGTCATTTCCCTTCTAATTTTATATACGGTGGTTTTTGAAGTATAGAAAATTTGAGTTTTTAATGTAGTTAAGGCTATCATTTCCTGATATGGTTTCTGACTTTGTGTCATGTCTTGAAACTAGTCTCTACCTTAAAATTATAATAATATTTGCCTATAATTTTTCTATATTTTGTCTTTATATTTGACAATATATAACAGGCAATAATATATAACAGACAATATATAACAGGCAAGTTTATATAACAGGCAATAATGTGGTGAAGGCCTGGTAGAAGGGAGAGGGGTGTGGGGTGGAGGGGATCAAATGGGGAAAAACAGGGACATCTGCAATACTTTCAGCAATAAAGATAAAATAAAATAAAAAGAATGAGAAAATGTAGGTTAAAGTACTATACCCCAGGCCTAATGTACAGGCACTTGAGTGCATGTTATTATTATAAGTTTTTAAGCTGCTAGCACTTGGTATTCCCAGGCAGACTCCTATCTAAGTGCTAACCAGGCCCGACCCTGCTTGGTTTCTGAGATCTAACGAGATGGGGCATGTTCGGAGTAGGATGGCCATAGACTGCATGCTATTCTTATTTTAAAGATTCTATACTAGCAACTATTTGTCTGTGACACAGGAGCTGGAACATTGCCAAATTTCCAGAGGCTTTAAGAAACCATCTTCTGGAACAATCTTTCGATTTTTGAGCAGAATGTGCTTACATGTGGTTTCTTTGGAACACTCTCCAAGCATTTTGAAGGCTTAGTGTGTGACACTACCCACCAACCAGAACTTTCTCACTTAGAGCACTGAAGAGCTCAGGAGCTCACGCATGGCGCTTCCTGCTATGGCTCTGCAAACCCTGAGCAACGTGGCAGACCCCACGACATGGGACTGACCCAATGTATAATAGGTACAAGTTGCTTCAGCTGTGGGGCAGCGTGCCATTCCCAATGTCGCAACTTGCACATGCAAACTTCCAGCGGTGGCTCCACAGCCTGTTAGTAAGTCAACAGCCTGGGATCTGGCCTACCATTTGAGCCTGGAGGCATTCTCTCCCTCACGCATTCCTTTATTTAGTTAGATGTGCTTCCTGCTGTCTCTGCGGCTATTTATCATCTCTGTGAAATAATCAAATAAGCCCAGACATTTTAAACTCTGGCAAATTCTAGAGTTCCCTGTTAAAAATATCTTGGCAAGCTGCCCCAGAATTGCAACAAATCTTGCTTCAGACCTCTATTGCTTGCCTTGATGTTGATTCCTTAGGACTTAGTAACTTATTTATGACAGCAGCATTAGTGCAGTAATTATTCTAGGAGTGTATATAGATAGTTTAAGACGATAGGACAGCTTTTCCCCAAAGCCTGTGTAGTAACAAGCCTACAAACTGTAAAAACAAATTGAATGGATTAAAACGCATCACCTAATTATTTTTTAAGAAAAACACTTCATTGGAACGCTACCAGTTAAATGAGGACAGATGCAACTCTGACACCTTGTTTCATAACTGCCCCTTTGTTGCCGTCAGGATCAGATAAGCCATCTTTGTTCTGATCGGTTTAACGTGTAACAATCCCTCTTTATGACCACAGCTAATGTTCCCCTCCCCTCGAAGATGACAATAAACCTGCGTTAAACCTTTCTTGCAGTATGATGCTCTCTAACGTGCCTTTTGGAGAGTGCGGAGTTCAATTTAGCACAAAGTCACATAACAATTAGATCAAGCTCCCTTTCTGTGCATCAATATAATGTCCCTTCTTCTTCCCGAAAGAGGCCTGGTCCGGGTGAAATTACAGAGGTCACACATCTGGCTAACATCAGAGTCAGGCTCAGCATTAGTCCAGAGCATATAGATCACCCTCACAATATAGACTTAATCTGGACCACTATTTAAGCAATGCTGTGGTTCATTAAATGTAGTCCATCTTCCCACCCTCCTCCTCACACACCTGCATTTTAACAGTGTTACTTGAAGTTATCATTTTGTAGGATTATAAACTGTTCCACTGTATCCCTCATAATACTTAGCTTAGATTTAAGGGAAGCCAGTTGGCACTTAATACACTTAATATTCAATCCTTCTTGATTTATGACTTTTGAGAGGAAAAGAGGAAAGAGATCATAAACAAAGAAAATAATCGGACGTGGCCACAGAGATTTACTTGAGTGGAAAGCCCAAAAACAGTTCATGCAAAATGCCTGTTTTCTTGCAATTAATGGTTTGGGTCTTGTCAACGACTACACTACATGATGAACCATCATCCACCAAATACTTTCATGTATTAGCCTCATTGTAGCTGGCTTTCTTGCTACTAAGGGTTATTGTTTTGTTTTATGTCTCCAATTTGTCTTTTAATTTATGGAACATCCTTTTATTTTAACTAATTAATAAAAGAAAACAAAAAATTCAGTTTTAAAAGACACTCTTCTCTAGATTAACCTTTATCATAAACTGATTGTATAAACTTGGACAAGTCAATTAACTTCTCTGAGTTCCAGGTTTATGCAGATGAATTATTTAATTTTTAATTGGTTGTCTTGGCATGATGTAGATAGTGCCAGACACATATTAGGTGCTCAATAAGTGTAGTTTGAAAAATTACATCAACAACTGTACTTTCTCAAAAAAAAAAAAAAAAAAAAAAAAGAAAGAAAGAAAGAAAGAAAGAAAGACAAAGAGAAGGGAAGAAATAATAATATATATATAATATTAAACTAACCTGTATTTTCCTGAAAAATATCAAAGTGATTCATTTTTCTAATGTCATTGAATTCAGACAGGAATCAATAAACAATAGTTATCTTGACCTGGGTTGTGCTACTCTGTGGTTAGAGCATTGGACGAAGGGTTTCAGATTCTTGATCAAGGGCACATACCTGGATTGCAGGTTCTAGTCCAGACTCCTGTTGGGTCATGTGTGGGGGAGACAACCAATCCATGTGTCTCTCTCACATCCATGTCTCTCTCTTTCTCTCTTCCTATCTCTCCCCACCTTCCACTCTCCCTAAAAATTAATGGAAAATATATCCTTGGGTGAGGTTTAACAAAAAACAATAATAAAAAACAAATAAATACCTAAGCATTGGATATATAAAAAATGCTATCTATACAAATGTCTTATTATTGTTATTATTGTACTTAACAAAATTATAAGTCCACTTGGAGGGTACCTAATCTAATTTCCCCCCTAATCTTTTCCAATGATGTTACTGTGGCCAACAAGCATACAGGGAAAGAAGATGGGCACTTGGCTAATATTTGCAATTTCTTTTCTATAATTGTTCACCTAAACTTGCAGAGATAAAAATACCAAGCTTTCAGGAAATTGCCTAAATATAAAGGCCTCTGGAAGAAGGAAGAGGCTGGCTAGCCTGTAAGAACCATAATAAAAAGGACTCTACCTTTCTTGCTTTTACCACTATCCAGTGGCACTCAGGAAGATGTTGTGAAGGTAGGGTAGACAATGAGAGAGTATATTCTTTAGAACATTTAAACAACCATGAAACCAACTCAGTGAGTTTGTCCTTTGTTATCACCATGAGCTGGCAATGCTTAACAATGTCAGTGATGAAATCTCTCCAGCTCTAAGGTAGACCTCTCCCACCACCCAGCCCCACCCCTTGGACACTATTCCACTGACACGGTTCCCAATGCCTAAGACAATGCCTGGCACATAACATGTACGATTTGCAGGAGAAGGTGATAATGTGAGAAACAATAATCTAGAACTCCGCCTCCCCTATAATTCCTTTCTCTTTTCCTACTGAAATTTTTAGAAACATGAAAACCATAATATAAATTCCCCATATACTCTGTACATCTCTGGTCCTTATTTAAATCCTATGCAAACTTTTAAATTCCACAGCCCAGGGGAAAAGATACCTGCAATGAGGATAGGGCTGGCCAATGGGATATGTGGGGAAAGTTCAGAAAGATCTGAGAGTACAAACCCTAACAAGAGAAGCTTGAAGGGTTGAAGTTTCCGCACACAACATGAAGCATTAGGTTTAGGATGGGGACCAGATGAACTCCCTTTCCCCAAAAGCACAAAAGACAATATATAACAGAGCGTCTGTGTCAGGCTGGCTTTCCAGCATCAAGAAGGGCTGAACTCTGTAAACAGACTCTGGAAGTCTTTATTAGCAGGAGGATGGGGAAGTGTGTTTTCCACTGAGATCAAGCCTCAGTGACTACATATACTTTCTGAAGCATCAGCGTCACCTGTAACTGCTTAAATGGTAGAGGAAAGGTGACTCATGTGGGTAAAAGCCAATGGGGAATTTAGGGGGTGATGATGTGTCCTAGTAGGTTAACTGATTGTCTGGTGGGGATATCTCACTAGAGGGGGAGTCTGTGCCTGTGTGGGGGGCAGGGAATATATGGGAAGTCTCTGTGCTTCCTGTTCCACTTTGCTATGAACCTAAAACTGCTCTAAAATATAGTCTTTTAAAAAGCCAGTTGGCAATGAAATACTACACTGAGGTAAAAAGGAGTTCTTACCATTTGCAACAGCATGGATGGAACTGGAGAGCATTATGCTAAGTGAAATAAGCCAGTCAGAGAAAGATAAATATCACATGATCTCACTCATTTGTGGACTATAATGAACAACATAAACTCATGAACAAAAATAGATCCAGAGAAAGAAAAACATGGATCAGACCCTCAAACTTCAGAGGGAAGATAGGGGTGGGCGGGGGTAAGAGGGAGAGATCAACCAAAGGACTTGTATGCATTCATATAAGCCTAACCAGTGGACACAGACAACAGGGGGGTGAGGACATGAGTGGAGAGAATTAGGGTGGAGGGATAATGGGGGAATAAGGACACGTATGTAACACCTTAATCAATAAACAAATTTTTTAAAAAGCCAATTGGGGGAGGGGGAGCAGTTGCCAGAGTGTAAAAGAATTCTTTTCATTTGCAAGATGGTTTAAGACTTACAAAGTGGTTTTTCTTTTCCCCCCTCATGAGCCTATGAAAATGGAAGAACAGGTGTCTTGATTTCAAGATGAGGAAACTGAAACTCAGTGAGTTAAAGTGACTTGTCTTCCCATAAGGAACAAAAGATCGTCCAAGTCAGGTCTTAAAATAGTCTTCTGATTCTAAGTCCAATAACCAATGCACTCACCACCTGTATCTCTTAGGATTCCCAGCTTCTAGAGAAAAGAACAAATCTTATTCCTCCCTAGATTAGATATTCAACGTTCTGCAACACCTGAGATAATGGAGCCTAACAAGAGGAGGTGCATTAAGTACAGGGTCGTGACCAAATCCAGTGAAAGAAAGTTTCACCGATTATCAATGTAATTAAGACAATAGCAGTAGAAAGAAATGTAAACAAAACCACAATGAAAAGTATAAATAATCTAAACTATGAAAGTATCCAAACTATATGCATATCCTTTGAGAAGCTCCAGGCTGCTAAGAGGACTGTACTGAAGTTACCAACATGAATGGGCCAATGCTGATAATGGAGAGGAATCAAATGTCTCCAGGTCATTCCTAGAAGATCAAACAATTTCCTGATTTCTCAGATCAGTGAGATTCAAAGAGAAGTCACCTGGAAAACCAGATGCAAAAATAACGCCCACCCGAGACTCTGGATGTGCCTGGGTCTCAGGACACAGCCACTCAGTTCAAAAGACAGTGAGCCTATGTACCTCAATTTTAATTTGTTAATAATAACCAACACTTGTTGAGAGCTTATTTTATGCCAGGCTTTGTTCTAAGCACTATGTACCTTACTTAGTTTTTACTGAGTAAAACATACATTTGCTCTGCAATATTGTAACACCCTTTGAAGTAACCGGAAAGTGCCCATGGCACCAGACGTGGGACTTGCCTTTATAACTCTGGTGCTGGCTTCATATAGAGGAATGCATGAAGGCCTGACAATCATTCTGTGAATCACAGCCAGATGGTTCTGGGCCATCAGAAGAAGGTAATTATTCCCTTTAAAGACAATAATTTAGCCCTAGCTAGTTTGCTCAGTGGATGATTGGCACAGGACCTCTGGTCAGCATGGAGGGAGCAAAGGTGGGTGCTATTTATCCTGCTCTGAACTTTTATTCTGCTTATAACGACAGAAGTGTAATGTCTCAGTCATGAGCTCAGTCAGGTCCTCTGCTCACTGGTCATCTCGAGTCACCTCTGTCAACAGTTCGGTGCCTTCCAAATCACAGCAGTGCCCTGCAGCCATCCCTGCCTGTCTAACGGTCAATCCAGTTTCCTGCGAGCACTTCCCACGTCCTGACCAGACAATTTTCTTATCAAAACATCTCAAACATGGTAATTCCTATCCTCACAAAAGATAATATAATTTAAATGAGATTGTGGAATGCTAAAACACCCAAGCCGCATGCACTAAAATTTTCTATCAAGCAGAGCCACCTAGTGGTAGAGTGAAATTTTTTTTTTTTTTAATTCTCCTTTAATTTCTCTCCTATAATAATCCCATCCAGATAGGGTCCCCTCTCTCCCTTCTTTTCTCCCTCCCTTTTTATCTCCCTCTTTTCTTTCCGGTTCATTTTACTCCTGTTTTCAGCTACCCCCTTTGAGACTATCATCTCTATTTTCCTTACCAAACATCTACTCATCCAAGATAAACACACCTACAGTTTGTTATAATGAAAAAAGTTTTTATAATTAAAACAGAAGCAGACTTAAAAGTCAGTGTCTCTTTAGAAGGGCAAGAAAATGTCAATACTAAATTATTTTTAAAGATAAAGAGTAACTATTTACTTTGTACCTTTCTATTTTCCAAAATTCACACTTCCTTTTCTCCACTCTACACATATATGCAGCCATGGAAAATGTCACATAAATGTACAGGCAGAGAGAAGGTGAGCAAAAGTGCTCTGCTGGGGTCTCCCGTCCCCTCCCGGTATGCACATGGAATCTATGGCAGGAATTAGAAGTACCTTGGGCTGTGGTTTGATTCCTTTTCTTCTTTTAAAGTAGGTAAACATTCACTGTCGGCTAGGACAGAATGAAAGCAAAGGAATTGTTAGTCACTGAAAACCTATTTTCTATCCATAAAACTCACACAGTTAAACATCACATTTCCCCAGCCTGCATGTGTAGAAATGGCCTCGCCAGGGAGTTGCTGAGGTCCGGGGATTAATGGTGGCAAGGCTCTCGAAATGGACAAAGCACTAACGCACAGATGCAAGACTTCAGTGTGCGTCTAGCCCTGTTGGAAAGGGCACAGATAATGGTGGCTTGATCATTCAGCCCCTGCAGAACCCCACTGTGGCTACAAAAGCCCGAATCTGCACTATTTAGGATGCTTGCTGGAATAAAAGGGCTTCACCTGAGGCCCTGATGTGCCAGGAGAATGACTCCAATCAGGATGCACCATCAGAAAGAAGCAGGTGACTGGGGAGCAACTAACCTTAAAGTCATCAGACTTCTGTGACACCACTTCCATTTTTAAAGGAAATAAAGAACTATAGGGGTCTATCACCTGTGTGTCAAAATAACGGCTTTAGTGTCGAATAGAAATGCCTTTTCCCCATTTTATGCTTTTAGTGAGTGAACCAGGATCATGGTTTTGTATTTAAATGATCTCAGGAACAAAAGGAATACACCAACATTTTAAGAAAGGTGGTCTTTGAGTGGTGAAATTATTTTTCATTCTTTTTTTAACTGTCTAAATTCTAAGGTGTATGTATTTTACTTTTATAAACTAAAAACAAGAAGTGAATCTAATTTAAGGATACTTTTCAGAGACATTCAGTCCTCAATATTGGATTACCAAAAACTTCAAAATTATGCTAGTTAGTTAAGTGGTTCTAAGCTTTTGGAAAACTGACCTTAATAAGCCTCTGGTGCAATAATTCTAATAAAAATCTTTCAATTATATAAACTTCATTGTAGATTGTTGAATCTGATAGACCCCGGGGTAATTTTTATGATAAGTGTTAAAAATACAAATGATGTAACAATAACAATAGTGGATTTTATTAATTTCTGAGCATTAAAAATAATTTATTGATTTTTAAAGAAATTAGAAAAACGGGCTGTTGTTATTTTTAAGTCCAAATATTTAGTGAAAACTAAGAAACATATACTGCAATTACTGCCAGATGTCAATTGGAAATTAGGTTAATGGGAATATTTATATCACTGTTTATGTTAGTGCTGTCCAATAGCTTTCTTTATAGTGATAGGAATGTTCTAGATTTTCACTGTATGTAGCCACTAGCACTCAGAATGTGGCTAGTGTGACTGAGGAACAGTATTTAAAATTTTATTTTTAAAATTTTAAGCTCAATAGCTACATATGGCTAATGTCTATTGTATTGGACAGCACTAATCTGTCAACTATATTTGATGAAGTTTAAAACCAGATACAGATTACAATCATAAATCTCTAAATATAAGGTGATGCCACAAGCTAACTTTTTCCAGATAATTTGGACTCCAGTTTCCTTGCTTGAAAAAAAGATCATTTGAAAAACGTGGACAAAAATAAAAACAAGCAGCAATGATGCGATTATTAAACTGAATAGTTAAGGACGGTCAGGCCCAAGTGTGCTCTCTGTGTGCACCAGAGTGTGTGTGGACCAGGCCCGCACGGTTCCACGCCAGGGTTTATGGGGGATCTACAAAGCAGCTTCTGTGAGTAGAGAGGACAGAAAAAACAATAAATTATTTTTAATGCTCAGAAATTAATAAAATCCACTATTGTTATTGTTATATCATTTGTATTTTTAACACTTATCATAAAAAACAAGGTTACCACGTACCATTTCTGTGCATGCTCATCCATTTATCAAGCTCTTCCATCTCTATTTCCATAACAGAGGGCGTGTCTTCCTCAAAAATAGGGCTAGAAAGAGAGCAAAAAGCTGTTGAAAGAAAGAAAGGTGTGGTGGGCTGAATTTCTGTGGGGGCATCTAGCATGTTGGCTGTGAAGGAGATAAATTTGACTCAGTGTCTTATACTCCAGGGTAGACTCAGCGTGTGCCCTGATCCAATGTACCAAACTCTAACGGGGAGAAAATGAGAACAACAATCTCAGCCTACCACTGGTCCGAAAATGGAGGGCGCGTAACCCAGCACAACCCAGTGTGTGTCTGTGTGTGTGTCTGTGTGTGTGTGTGTCTGTGTGTCTGTGTGTGTGTGTCTGTGTGTGTGTCTGTGTGTGTGTGTGTCTGTGTGTGTCTGTGTGTGTCTGTGTGTGTGTCTGTGTGTGTGTGTGTCTGTGTGTGTCTGTGTGTGTGTGTGTGTGTGTGTTTGTGTGTGTGTGTGTGTGTGTGTGTGTGTGTGTGTGTGTTGTGGGGGATGGTGAAGGAGAAGGGGTTGAAAGGGAACCGGAGACTACTCCCCGGAGGGCACAGAGGGGAGCACACAAGGCTTCCACTGGGCGGCTCCTCCCGGGCGTTGCCACATTTAGCATTTTCACCTTGCTTAATTTCACTTCTCTTTTTTGGTGTTTTTGATCACCAAAACGAGTCAAGAGCCTACAGTCAACGAATTGCTTGCATCGCCTCTCCCTTCAGTTCCCACGCTTTTCTGTCTTGGAGAAAGTGAGCAGTTTCTTTGAGAAATCCACTGCCCTCGCTTGCCAGGGCTTAGAGGTTTGGAGCACCCAGTGTGGAGAAAGAAGCCCCTAGTGAATGGAGGTGGGGACGAGGAGGGCGGTCACCAACTCTGAACACTGCAAAGGTGTTTCACCTTGAATGGGAAGCAAGCTACGTGTAGGAGTAAGGCTGCTGTGGTTGGGGTGGGGGCCGGAGGAGGATGTGGGCATGGTTCTAGAACATCCTCCCCTGGTAAAGCTTCTACTTCCCCCCTCCCGCCGATTTGTCTTCCTCTCCCCTCCATTCCCCTTCTACCAGGGATCTCCCTCCTTAATACCAGCTGAACTATCTTCCCTGGTGATAAAAATGTTTATCCAAATAAAACAAAGAGGGATGGACATCTGAGCTGAAGTGAGTGCTCCCTGAGCACCTCCGATCTAAAAGAAAACATCTTTGAAAACCACCCAGCGTCAGAATATTTACGATGCATTTGGAATTGGCAGCAGGAGGCAGAAAAAGATTCTTTTCTGAACAGAGGACCCTGTCCGAAGCCCAGACCCCCTTCCAGGTTGAGGTTTGATAACAGGGACATCCTTCCAAAGGCTGTAGACCACGACAGGCTGTTTTCTGGGGCTCGGGAAGCTAGAGGTCCCCACAAGGAACAAAAACTCCCAAGGACCAGTGGTCCTCTAATCTGCTCCCCTCCCCAACGTCCTTGTCCACGCCGCACGGGGCGGAGGGAGCGGGGAAGACTTACAGTTTCATGTTGTCGCCTCCAGGTTCATCTAAAAGGGAATAAACATAAAGGTCATGCTGGCTTTGTCTGCCTGGAACAGCTTTTTATTTCATCAACAGCTGAAACCTGCTTCACAAAGAGAACAGAATGGGCCTCAAGTAAATTACGTTTTTAAAGGAGCAGTAATTAACCTCTAAATCAAACGTGTGCTGATTGCCATATTGAAATGAGGCCCCAGTCCATTGGAAATCTGTTTTCTTTTAGATCGGAGGTGCTCGGGGAGCACTTTGTTTTCTCCACACACAGAGGACCCGCAGTGGTAAGGGGGGAAGAAAAGGGTCTTACAAGAGGGCTTGCTCCTTGGCCCACGGCTCCAAAATGTCCCAGTTCAAAGCACTGCTTTCCATCTGCTTGTGACACACTGAACCCAACACTGTGACTGTCCCTTTGACCCAGAGTAAGAGGTGGGGACTCCATCCAGAGCTCCCCTCGGAAGTGTCCTGGCACCTGCTCTTCGCGTAGCTGGAACCCTCACTTCTATCCTCAACTTACACGCTTTCCTCAGGGAGTCTTCTCCCAACTCCTCTACCTGAAATGGGGCCCCTCTTCCCTACTGTTCCCCAGCGGAACACTTTCATAGCCTTGGCCCCAATTTGTCACTGATAGATTCATCTGTTTAATTCTTCTCCATCGGTTTTTTCCCAATTGACCGTTGCTCCCAAAGGGCAGAGATTGTGTCTGTCATGTTTATCATAGCGCCCTCTGCTCCCGTCCATCCAGGACAATCCCTGGGAACCACACAGTGTTCATTTACAGAGTAAATGAACAGATCTTAATCTGGATGTTGCCCAGCCCTGGGGTTAAATTCATGGCTGCTGTTTTGGACTTAACATTATCAAATAGTGAAACTTCCAACAAGTCTGTTGTTCTTTGCTGTTGGTTGAGGTAAGAGTCAGACCACAGTTTGCAAAACAGCTGAACTGCATGCCTGCTTCCAACAAGCCAGGTTTTCCCTGCCTTTCCCTGCTTTTCCTGCTACTGGTAGAGGTAAGAGTCAGAGAACAGTTTGCAGAAAGGCTCTGATACATGCAGATCAGACTGCAAATGAACATGTGGCAGGAATCAGAGCCCAGTCCCCAGCGCAGGCTGTGTTTTGTTTGGCAAGAGGATCGACGCACCCAGAGAAATGAGGCTATGGTGTCAAGCAAGTGGACAGCACAGGCCTGCTGCCCCTTTTATGATGTGAAAACCAGAGAGAAACAAAGCACTTTTGTAGAGGCCCACCAAATAGTTGGATGTTCCCAGTCCTTGGCAGTCAGAGGCTGCATTTTGTCTGGTCTGCAGAAATGCAGGTCCCCAGTGAGGGGACATAACCAGCAGGCCCTTGGAACTGAGCTCCTGGCTGCAGCTGGGAACGGCTGTAGTTTTCTGTGGGTTGGCAGGCTTGAATGGCATTGCTAATCCAGGAAAGCTGGGCACAGATGTAAGTTTCATGCCATCACTGCTTACCTTGCAGGGGCTGTAGGCTATGTCCTCCTGATTCCCACCTGCTGTCCCCAAATAGGAATCTGAAGATTCCTGCAGAGGCCTGACTCCTTAAAACTTTGGAGGAAGGGGAGATGTACATGGTATATTTTATATTCATGTACATCTTATAAATATGTGTGTGTACATATATATGTGAGTGTATGTATGTATACATACATATACTAATATATATATATTTTTCATCTAAAATTTACATTCTGTTTCCTTAAGGGCTTTTACTATAAATTAAAGCCACTGCAGGAGACCCATAAAAATCCCCTGTTTTGTCATTCCCTCTCCCTCTTCCCTGTTTAATACCCCCCCATCCCCCCGCTAATTTCTCAGGGAGCAAGTGTCCCTGGAGCCCCACTGTCTAGGGCATGGATTTATCTCTATAATCTGAGCGTCCACAGGCTTTGTGGTGAGTAAAAGCTAGCCCTCACTGCAGATGATGGAAAAGTTTAAAACCCCATTACCAAAGTGCTCCAGAGGCACCAAATGGGAAGCTCCTATAATCAGTATTCAAACAGAGCAAAAAGCTTTCTGCAGCCTCATCTACCCTGCTCCAGGCCCATTACCCCTGCCCCAGCCGCCATGGCAACAGAGAAACATCTGGGAGAGAACACCAGAGCAGAGCATTAAACCAGGAGGAAGACCAATTATTTGTCCTCAGCAATCAGGCCTTGCCCGCTCCACTCCACCTGGCCTAAATCCCTTTATTAATAGCCCCCTACTCCCCTGCATCCAGGAGGCAAAGGTTGCTCTTATGCAGCCCCTCACCCTCACTTGCTCCCATTTTCCCTGCCATCGCCTCTGGTTTCACATCCTTCCACCCACTTTGTCCTCCTCTTTCAGTTCCTACATTGCACCCGCTTGGCCTGACAATGCCCCCTCTCTCAAGGCTACCCCTGTGCATTGGGGGGTGGGGGGAAGAAGGGGAAGGAGGCGGGAGAGACACGGGACAGGAGCCCAGCAGGGGGCTGGCTCGCTTATCTTGTTTCCATGCTGAACAGTGAGCAAGGGAGACAGCCTTTCTAGAGATTTACTGAGCAGAGCCAGGTGTCATGTGGCCACAGCCTGTTTAAAGTATGGTTCACTGCCAGCTGTTTCCCCTGCAGCTCTTTCAAAGAGTCACAGCACATCAAGACATTTAATAATAACTACTGCAAATGCAACGCCTGGAGGTGTAGGAAGAATGACAATAGAACATCTAGTTACTACACAGCATTTCCCTTTTCCTGGACAGGAACCTGACGGGCCCAAAGCAAAAAGGCAATTCCCAAATGGAGGAAAGCGTTCTTCCTAAACATAATGGCCAAGTCATCGCCAGTGTCAAATTTAAAGACTTACTTTCTGGTGTAGAAGAATATGTGAAGAAAGAAACCAACCGTGTGTTTATTGCTAACTCTGAGGGGACATCGTTCATGCCCTCCCACATAACAATCCTTCGAGAACTTCCTAAGTCCCCTGGAACTTTTATTTTTCCTGGAAAACAAATGTATTTAAATCAGATTTTGTGAATTTAAATACTATCCTTTTTTTGGCTTGCTTATGATGTGAAATACGAATGGGTAGAATTCAGTGGACAGTCATCATTAACCCTTTAGCATTCAGTTTGTCTGAGGAAATACGCAGGTGTTAAGCAGTTAACCACCAGTATCTATATTAAAGGAGGTGGATACTAAAAGAAAATATTCAAGTCAAACTCTATATATTTATTTACTTATTTTTTAATAAGCAACTTCTTCAAAATGCTGAACTCTCTATGTTGTGTTTTCTTAAAGTAGGGTATACTTAAACTAAACGGAATGTGCCAATTTATAGCAAGAATATGTGAAAATTTTGTTTTTTAATCTCTGAAAATAGGTCTTCTTTAAAATAAGTTATAACATTGTTCTATTTACTAAATAAACATTTATTGAGCTGCTAATCTTTATGTTGGGCCAGGCACTATGTTATGTAAAAGGGATAATAATAACAAGCTAATACAATATGCCAGGTATTGTTTTTTTCTAAGCCCTTTCCATAGATGAATCCATTTAATTCTCACAACTCTGTGAGGTAGGTTTTGAATTTGTCCATTTTACAGATGAGGAAGCTGACAAAGAAGTCACAGAACTAGGAAATGCAAAAGCCAACTAGGCAGTGTGGTTCCAGAGTCTGCCCTCTCCACCTCCAGCCCACACTGTTAAACAGAAAAATAAGACAAGTTCTTGCCTTTCTTGGACCTTAAAGAGAACATAACCTGGTAAGAAAGACCAAAAAAGGGCAAGTTCCCATTTTATGCCAAAGTAAATACTGTGCACGTTGTGACCACAGTCTATGAGAGCACAGAAGACGTGGTGATTAATTTTGCCTGAGGAGCGATTACTCAGGCTTCATGAAAACTTTAGAAGTGAGCATTGAAGAATGGGGCTGCAATTTGCTAATCAGACAAGAAGGCAATCCAGACAGAAGAAATGGCAGCACACAGGCATAAAGGCATCCTGAAAGTATAAGCCCTGCTCTGGGAACAGCAAACACTTCAAGTATGGCTGCCGTGTAGGATGCATAGGCCATGTCTGAAGATGAGGCTGGTTCTCACTCATATGATGGCTTCTGAACGTTGAGATTCCCACAATAAAGTTCAATGAAAAACCTCTTTCTGGATTTAGAGCCTAAGAGTATGACCATTTGACTGATACCCCCAAATTCCTCCCAACCCCATAACCCCACTAGCAAAACCAGCTGTGGGGCTATAGAGTTTAGGCAGGAAATTCTCACCTTTCTTACTAAAAACAAAAAAATTAGGCCCATGCAGCTCTGTTTGCTTTTGCTTTTTCTTTAGCTTCCAAAGGAGCTCCCACGTGATCACGGTTAGTAGGTCACCACGAAATTTCAAGCAACGAAGGAACATGTGTATTTCCTCCTTCCTTGAAATCTATTATATCAGCCCCTATCGTGAAAGGTAATGAACTTCAGTGCTTCTTCCCCAGCTCACATTTACTGTACCTGAGGGCATAATGGGAAAAAACCATTTACAGTTTCTGCTGAGAGCTTGAGGGCTTTCCAGGGGCTAGGACAATGAGCAAGGCCTGAAGACCAAGGACATGATCTCAAAGCCAGAGTTGCCCTGTTAATGGGTGTGAGGGACATACAGTGAGTTTTGTATGCACATATGAATATGTATCTTGGAGAAATTCTCATCCTGTGAGTGATCTCTGGAGTGAATAAAGTCTTCAACTTAAAATCTAATTGGTGCCCTGGACAGTGTGGTTCAGTGATTAGTGTCAGCTCACACACTGGAGGGCCACAGGTTTGATTACCAGTCAAGGTTTTGCTCCCTGGCCCTGATGACATCTCTCTCACACATTGATGTTTCTCTCTCTCACCCTTTCTCTCCCTCCTTTCTACTCTCTCTAAAAATCAATGGAAAAAAATCCTCAGGTGAGGATTAACAACAACAAAAATCTAATTGGAATCATTTTTTTTTTTTTTACCAGCATAAGCCAAAAGTATCCAAGTCTCCTTTGGACCTAGATACCCTAAAATCTAGTATGTGATGCTTCTGGAATAGGAACTGAATACTTTCAGAGTGAGTCTCTGACCTGGGGAATTCTCTATGAGACCGATTTTCTAGGAGCTTGATGATAGCAATCTTTAGCCAAGTAGGACTTTGCTTATGAAAGTTAGCATAGCTTTCATGGGAATAAGAACAATGCATCACCCAGGCCTTTTCAAGATCAAATTGGAATGTGGCATGGGGGAGAAAGCAATATCTGTGGCAGAAATTTAGGTGGAAGAATCCCCTTCTTGCAGAATGATGCCATGGTCTCTGCCTTCCCAACCCTGACCACACTGCTCCACCATCCTCACCCTTTCCTCCAACTGTAGGAACATGTTACATTGACCTATTGGCCAAGATTATACAAGGGCATTATCTGGATTAGGTACAGAGTTGGTAGCTGTGTATATTAACTTTTAATTTAGGCTAAAAATATACTCTTTTTAAAAAAAGAACAAAATATGGCATTCTTAAATTTTGGAAAATTTTGTTGAAATATGTCATTCATGACTTATTATTATCCCATATAATAAAACTCTAATATGCAAATCAACAGAACGGTGGAAAGACTTGTGGAATGACTAATTGCTATGATATGCAATGACCACCAGGGGGCAGACACTCAACACAAGAGCTGCCCCCTAGTGGCCAGTGCCCTCCCACAGGGGGAGCACCACACAGCCAGAAGCTGGGTTCATGGCTGGCAAGCATAGCAGTGGTGGCAAGAGGGAGGTAAAGAGTGAGAAGTCCTGGACTGCAAGAGCTCTGGACTGTGAGAGGGATGTCTGACTGCCGCCTTAGGGTCCAGCAGTCACACATCCCCCGAGGAGTCCCGGACTGCAAGAGAGGGCAGGCCAGGCTGAGGGAACGCCCTCCCCCCTTCACCCCCCAGTGCACAAACTTCATGCACCAGGGCTCTAGTTTTATATAATCCTTTTTGCTTAACTTAAAACCTCTCAGTTCCTTCTCCGATCCTATCCCCAACTCCAGGCAGGTGTTAGGATAATACTCACATGTCTGTAAAACACTCTGAGATCCTTGGCTAGAAGGCAGCTCTGTGTAGAAGCAAAAAGTATTTTGTTTTAGTGTTTGGCCATTGACCCATGGAGCGATTGTCTGGGATTGGAAACACACAAAATATTTACCTTGTTTAGCTTTTTCTCTTTTACAGTTGATTGCAATGAGTACCACTGATATGAGTAGGAGTGCCAAGAAAACCAATGGGACCAACACCATCAATATAAGCTCTAGCTGAGTGTTCTTCTCATTACCGAAGGTATTATTCCCATAGTCATATTCTACTTCTGTGGTCAGTGCAGCAACTATACTTATAACAGTCGTATCTTCTTCTGTAGGTTCCACTTTCTGGGTGACATCTGTTGACTCATCTCCTGATTCTTTTTCTTCCTTAGAATTCTCTGTGAGAAACACACACACAAAATTGAGGTTGCCATGGAGACTAAGCTAGTAAGTTATGTTTTCAATGATATTTTAAATTTTTCTCTACATGCATCCAGTGGTAAATTTGATTTCCTGAGTTGGGCCTTCCAGTTCAGTGTGTTATAGAGTACTGAAGTAACATAAATGGCACTCAAGCTGGGAGTACATTGAACATGGAATCAGAGTCCAGATAAACCTCCCACAAATGCAGGCAGTTTAGCTTTGACAGGTACTTTAGATACACTTAATCAAAGGCATTAAGAATCTTTGCCCTGTCATGGGTGATATCCTGAGACATTTCCTATAGGGTATCATATTTTAATAGCATTTCTGAATAAATCTGAGCCACATGTACTGAAAGGTAGGTACTTGCCACATAACACTTTTAATAAAAGGCTACCTATGAGTGGAAAAGAATTTTTTGAAATTGCAGTGACTGCTTTAATTTCAGCGTCAGGGCTCACATTCTGCAGAGAAACATGTCTGCCTCCAAGATTATCTGACAGAAATTCTACTGGATACTAAATAAAAATACAAGTGACATTCTCAGGGAGAATTCAGAGACTTAAAAAAAATGGTACCAATATTTAAAAGTATTTAATAAAATGAATCTTTAGAACATCCCTATGTAGAAACTCCAAGCAAGTTAATTCTGTGTAAACTTCAGATTGTGTTGGAAAACCATCCTGTGGTTCATCACAGCATTGGAAATGACCATTATTTGAAAGATCTTTCCTCACCTGGCCATGTGGTGGTCATGGGTAGGTGAGCTAAAGGTTTTCACTACCATGTTACAAGATTATCTATCATTCAAATGGGGCCCGTTGAGGAAAATAGAATATGAGTTAAGGCTACAGAACACTTATCAAATGAGTTCATTTTTCTGAAAGCTCTTTCTAAGGTGTTATGCAAATGGAAAAGTTGGCTGTTTTAAACTATGCCCTGTTGCTACAGGCTAGACCAGTGCTCCAATAGAAGGACCTTGCTGACCACAGTAGAAGCAATCTAGTACCTTGTCTAGATGCATGACAATATGACAACGGGTTCCTCTGACTTGATTTATAAAACCTTTGTTTGATCACTGTCTAGTTATTTTGGATATATATATTTCCATTTTCCCCAAGACCAGGGAATCCACTTGATGATCACATGAGTGATCCATGCAAAGACAAACTGGAGAATGCAACTAACTGGTGCTCCTTCACCTGAATGTACCAAAAGCAGGATTAAAAAGAAAACCTACCATTTATTGACCTCTGCCTTCTGGATTAAGTGACTTTGCCCTATTTTTATGTCTTTGAAATAAAGTAAGTCAATGCTGTATTCACTCCAAGCTTTGATATATTACATACCATCCTGGGTCAGGAAAAGGTATTTGTCTACCAGGGCATTGTCCTCATTAAACTCATTCGCTTGCAGGACTGCTAGAAGCAAACTGCACTCTTTACTGAAAATCCAGGCCACTGAAGACCTGATGGGGGTGGGAAATAGGGGGACGGGGAAGGGGGCAGTGAAGGGAGGTATAGGGGAGGGGTACATACACAAGTGGAGTTGGTGGTTATGACACTTTTCCTTGAGGTCAGTCCTTATGGATCTTTTTCAAACATCCAGATTTCCCTTTTATTTTTTTTTATTTTTTTTTTTTGTCTTCTGTTATTGTTGTAGCTGCTGCTACCATTCCAAGCAAAGCACTTACTATAATAAGAGCCCAGTCCTGTGCTCTGCCTTTTTGCTGGATGAATTCATTTTGTCCTCACCACTTTTTCAGATAGATACTGGGGCCAAGAGGTTACACGACTTGCCCACGATCACAGAGCTATCGTGGAGGGGTGATCGTTTGAACCTGGCTGGAATGTACTGATTACAAATCATGACGTGGTGAACAAGAGAGGGGACCTCATATTCTTGCCCATCAGTTTCTAAGGAGGTGGCTTCCTGGCTTAAGGGCAAGGGAGAGGAAGGGTTCCCAGAAGCCTTGGTTCTGCCAGAGCTCTCGCTAAGCTTCTCTGCCCGGACCGCTGTGAACAAAGCTGCCCGGATGCAGGGTCTTCTCTGGGCCTCTCCAAGGAAGGCCAGCAAGTTCCCAGGGGGACACTTAGCACCCCGAGTCACCACTTGACCCATGGCCCCAAAGAGAAGAAAAGGGGAAAATAAATAAACTAGCAGGGAAAATGAGGGCTTTCTGACGACAGGAAATGAAGGAGACATGGAAAGAAGGGCAGCAGGTGGTCCTGGGTTGTGTACATTTACTTTTCAGCATAAGAGACAATGCTGGTCACTAGTGGCCATTAGTGGCCTTTTTGAGTGAAAGGGGCCAGAACTCCTCTCTATAATATCCCTCCCACATGTACGTTTTCCTTGTTAAACATCATTTACTCCATAAGATTCTCTAGTGGCTAAATACATGAGAATCAAGTTTCTCTTTTCTTTGCTCTTCAAGCTTTCACCTCCAGACTCTCCTATGACAACCTTCCTCACAACTCTCCCTGCCCAGACCCTCCACAATAGCCTCAAAGTAATAAACAACAGCCACTGGCATTTATGGAGTGCTTAATATACGCACTACCTAATTTAATCTTCACAACTTTCTTGTTCACATTTAAAAAACATTTTTATTAATTTCAGAGAGGAAGGAAGGAAGGAGGGGGGAGAAAAACATCAATAATGAGAGAAAATCATTGACTGGCTGCCTTCTGCATATCCCCTACTGGGGAATGAGACTGCAACCCGGGCATGGGCCCTTGATCAAAATTGAACCCAAGATTCTTCAGTCTGCAGATCGGCCCTCTATCCACTGAGCCAAACCAGCTAGGGCTCTTGTTCACATTTTACAGTGTGAAGAAACCAAGTCTTGAATGTCTTGGGCTGGAGTATAACCCTGCCATTTAAGCTGTAAGTCCCACTGACACATAGGGTTTTGGAAGCCACATTCCCTCGAGCATAGGTGCTCAGTGACAGTGACGGGCTTAGTTATCACTTTTCACTTAGTAAGTGTGGGAATTTGGACAAATTATTTATCCCTTAATGATGATGCTCTAATCTGTACAACAGGAGTGATCCCCAAGGTCCCATCTATCGCCACATTTTTATGTTGATTCTAAAACCTTGATCTTGTTTTTCATTAGATTTTTTTGAATAGGTGCTGTACACATGGTACTAAGCTCAGCAAGGAAATTTCTCTACCACCCTTTCCCCTGTTTGTCACCCTCCCCAGAGATAACCACTGTTTCTGCTGCCTTCCCAAGAAGCTCTGTGCCTATACAAGTAGTGTTTCTTGTTTTCTGAACACAAATGGTAGCAAAAGAAGTTAAATCTCATTCTGCCTCTTGTTTAGTTCACTTAAAATTTAACTCAAATATCCTTCCATGTCTGCATATAGAAAGCTGTCTTCTGTTATTTGGAAGTATCATAACCCATTCCTATTAATAGATATTTAGATTATTTCTTTGTATTTTTAATGATGCTACAACAAACAGCCCTGCACACCCTCCAGTTTACACATTTGCAAGTATTTTATGCAGTGTATCTCAAGAGGGGGGCCACAGAGAAAGGGAACAGCATCAAACTACTCTTGGTGGTCCGCTCTCACAACTTCTCCAAGACAACTCGAGCTCAATCGTCATACAAGAGAACTGGCAGAGATGAAGTCAGGAAGGGGCTGGTTAAGCAGGGCGTCTATAATGGGAAAGAGGGGGAAGTTGTAAACATTGATGATCAGCCCAAAGAATTTGTGCCAGAAGCATCAAATGTCTTCAAAGGGAACAGGAAAACCAGGTGGGCCAAAGAATCACATCAGTAATCAGGACACAAATGAGAGGAAGAAAACCAGAGGTGGACAAAATCAAGGTGGAAACAAGAGAGGAGACAGAGTCACAAGAGAAGGGATGGAAGTGGAGCTGGCAGGGGGCAGCTGGGGGCTTTTCCCAAAGCATTACAAGTTCCTCCCATGGCCTGTGGGCTAACGGCAACTCTTACCCAGTGGACATGGGATCCTCTGACACTGAGATTAACCAAAGAACTTATATGCACACATGCATAACCAGGGACACAGTTGGGTGTTGGGTAGATGAGGGTCAATGGAGGGATAAAAAGGAACATCTGTGATACTTTCAACAATAAAGATAAATTAGAAGAAGAAGAAGGAGGAGGAAGAGGAGGAGGAGGAGGAGGAGGAGGAGGAGGAGAGAAGAAGAAGAAGAAGAAGAAGGAGAAGAAGAAGAAGAAGAAGAAGAAGAAGAAGAAGAAGAAGAAGAAGAAGAAGAAGAAGAAGAAGAAGAAGAAGAAGAAGAAGAAGAAGAGTGAGGCTTGAGACAGGGCTGTCCTCTCTAGCTGTCTCGCCTGGAAGAGCCCCTCACTTCTCCAGCCCTTCCTTTCCTAACGGCCAAGAAAGGAGGCCTGCTGCTCTGGATAGGCCTGCTGTCCCAATGAAGAGCAAAGGAAATCACAAATGTGAAAATGCTGTATCACCCACAAGGTGCCACACCTATGCCAGGGGTCCGCAGATTTGCTATTTCCTCTATCCTCTGCCCATTTCTGAACTCATCTGTAGATGTAACTGTTTCTCTGCTATTTCTCAAGAGACTAATCTGCCTGATATAACTTCTTCATTTTAGTATTGTATCTTCTTATCGAAAAGTTGGGGGCAACCAGGCCAGTAGGGGGGGGGGGCAGTTAGGAGCAACCAGGTCGGTAGGGAGGGGCCAGTTGGGAGTGACCTGGCCAACAATGAGGGAAAGTTAGGGGCAATCAGGACAGCAGGGGGGGGGTAGTGAGGGGTAATCAGGCTGCACACAGAGGCAGTGAGAGGCAATCAGGTCGGTAGCAGGGGGCAGTTAGGGGCTACCAGGCAGACAGGCAGGCAGGTAAGTGATTAGGAGCCAGTAGTCCAGGACTGTGAGAGGGATGTTCCCTGAGGGGTCCCAGATTGGAGAGGGTGCAGGCTGAGGGGAAAACCCCCCCCACCACCACCATGCACAAA